AGCTCTTTCCTTATGTTTTCTTCTAGTAGTTTTATGGTTTCATGTTATGTTTAAGTCTTTATGGCATTTTAAGTTGATTTTTATATATGGTATGAGATAAGGGTCCAGTTTCAGTCTTCCGCATATTCTATAATTTCCACTTAGAAAAATATAGAATAGGGACAATTTCTGTAGGATCAGTACTAAGATAGTTTTCTGTCTTATATGTCTTATCATGTTTATTGTGACAGTTTGGGAACTATAGTGATATGGTTTTCATATTTGTTCCCTCCAAGTCTCAGGAATGCGATCTTCAAGATTACAGGTGGGGCCTAGTGGGAGGTGTTTGGGTCATGGGGATGGCTTTCTCAGGAATGCCTTGGGACCTCCCTGTGGTAACCGTTTCACTTGAGATCTGGTTGTGGAAAAGAGTCTGGGACCTCCCTCCCTTTCTTGCTTTTTCTCACTGTGTGACACACTAGCTCCCCGTGTCTTCTACCACGACTGAAAGCTTCCTGAGGCCTCACTAGAAGCAGAAACTGGCACCATTCCTCTCTACAATCTGCAGAACCATGAGCCAAATAAACCCATATTCTTTATAAATTACTCAGCCTCCTTTATTGCAGTACAAAATGGACTAGTGCATATAGAAAAGTATACGTAAGAAAATAATATCTTTCAGACTTCCTCAACTCGTGGTCAAGGTTTGCTTTTATTTTGGTCAATAAGTCTGTCTTTTCTCGTCTTTACTCCTTTTTATCTTTCTCTTTTTCTTTTGTTCCTTCCTTCTCTTTTTCCCTTTCCCCTTTTGTCTGTAAATCTATCACTACATTAATGTCTGTATATCTGTAGATTTTTTAAATTTGTGGTTTCACTGCATTTACTATTTCATGTTTTACTGTACATTAATGTCATGTGGGAAATATTTTTCCATAGCTTCAAATATTTTCAAAAACATTTTTAGTTGAGTTATATGATATACCACAATTTGATCTCTATTATTAGATGTTCAGACTGGTGACAGGTTATTTTTTTTAATATATTGGTAATTATAATTCTACAAATCATGTATGGGCATAAAGTTTTGTATGCAGCTCTGATCAGATATTGAAGATGAAATATTAGAACTTGTGTTGCTGGGACAAAGAGGAATACATATTTTGAAGATGTTTGATACATATTAGGAAAATATTCTCCTGAATGGCTATGTAATTTAAAATTCCCACCAGTCTTGAGTAGGAATTGTCTGTGGCTCCTTTTTTTTTTTTTTTTTTAATAGATGTTTTATCAGTGATCTTGGTGATGAAGTAACTTTTGAATTTGAAGTTATAATGTAAAATAAATATAATGTAAAATACTTGACGGTTCAGAAAATTAGCGAGTTGATAGCAAATTAAAGTTCAATAAGGAAAAATTAGGGCCGGAGAAATAAATGATGCAAGTGGCCAAAATAATGTTTGGAGTAGCTGTTTCTACATGCATTGCTTGAAGGAAAATCCAGGGTCATAGGGAATATGACTAAATTTTTTCACAGCCCCATGGGGAATGTTACTATGGTAAGAAGTGCTCCCAAATGAAACACACACACACACACACACACACACGCACACGCAAGTAAGCCTTGCTGGAACTGATGCTCTGTTCTAAAAAGACTGATTGACTGATTTTATACTTTAAACTATTAAGAATTAAGAGACACTACATACCTTCTTGGGAGATATTAAATGTTCATTTTCATTATTTACTCTAATTATTTGAGCATAAATTGAATTAAAAAGGCTTTCTGAAAGTTACTAGCTGATCTTTCCTCAGTGAAACAGAGAGTGTATTTAGGAAGCTGGGGTGTTTTCCAGTAGCAACAACCAGTTCTGATTCTCTGGATATGAACTAGATGTTCAACAATTCAACTCAATTCTGACACTAACTACATGGAGTTAGCTTAAGACTTCACAGGTGTAAGGGCTCAGTTCCATCAGACTGCACTCAGTGTAAATGCCAGTTGCAAGTATTGGGTCCGTAGGTTACTTGCACTCTATCTGACCTAGCTATAATGTCAGAGGTTCCCACACCCTTCTAGTCAGGCTTGATAACTTGCTAGAATAACTCACAGAACTCAGTAAGACACTCTATTTATTACCAGTTTACTATAAAGGATGCAGCACAGGAACAGCCAAATGGAAGAGATGCATAGGGCCATGTATGGGGGGATTGCACGAGCTTCCACACCCTTTCTAGGTGTGCCACCCTCTTAGCATCCTGATGTGTTGACCAACCTGGAAGCTCTCTGAATCCCACTGGTTAGGGGGTTTTATGGAGATTTCATCAAAAAAGCATGATCCATCATTAATCCAATATCCAGTCCCTCTCATCTCCCTGGAGGTTGGGGGGTGGGACTGAAAGTTCCAAGCTTTTAATTATGATTTGGTCTTTCTGGCAACTAATTCCTATCCTGAAGCTTTCTAGGGGGCCTGCCATAATCTACCTCAGGAAATTCTAAGGGATTTAGGAGCTTTGTGTCAGGAACTGGGGATGAAGGCCAAATATATCTTTCTTATGATGCCACGGAAGTTCAGTTTTCTTCCATGAAATATTAGGGGAAACTGAATTATCTTTATTTTGCAAATGATACTTTGAGGATAAGAATGCTGTTCTAAAATTAAGAAGGCATACGTTTATACACACAAACATGAGGAAGCAGTTTTAAAAACCTGGTTTTGTTTGGTTGTATGTTGTTGTTCTGTGTGTGTTTTAAGTGTGATTTATATCCTACAAGCCTGCACTAAACCTCTTTATTAGCAATTATTTCTTTTCATTTGTAGTACAAATCTAGTTAATGTTCAGACAGATGACCCTATCTTGATATAATTACAATCCAGAAGATTTTTATAATTTGATATTTCTTTCTGGTAGCTGATATTCAGCATGATTTTAAGACTATTAAATCATATGCAACAACTTAAAAATCAGAACATTTAATTAATCAGTTTGCTTGAATCGATTAATTAAATATCTCTGCATGATGACAGGGAATTTGCTGTGTTTTTGTTATCCAGAGTACTTTGTCTTCTTGTGCTAATAAACTGTTTTTCTATTTTTTTCTTTTAGCCTGGAAACCCACTATTTATAATTGAATGTGAGATTCTTTTCTAACTGAAACGACTTTGAATAGGCAACTTTAAAAAAATCAGTATTATTATATATATTAGCAAACTTACATCTTGAAGGAGGGTCTCAAAAATCATATGTATGTCTTGTGCACATAGGGTGCTTTTCTGAGAGTAATGAGTGTCAGAGTCCACTGCTCCCATCGCTAATGACAGATGGAGGATGATCCAGGGAGTGAAATGGTTGTTGAGAAAGCTGAAAATAAGTAGAGCTATAATTCTAATTAGTTTGTTCATCTTAACAATATCTAGTCCTTGGTGTAGTCAACAGCTATGAAGATACAAAGCTGTGTACTTTGATTTTGGAAATCTAGTTTCTTTACATTTTTAATTATAATTTGATACATGTTAATTGAATGAAATTAGAAAAATAACAAAGAAATGAAGATAAGAGGATAAAAATCACCAATAATTCAACAGTTATACATTCTGTTTAATTTTTTTGTACTCATTTTTTGTACTTAACACTTTCTCAGGCTAATAAAAAATTTCTGAAAATCTAATTTTTAATGGCTAAGTACTATTCATTTGTATAGTCATACCATTATTAACTATTTGTCAGTCCATTTTCAATAATGCTGTGATGAACGTATTTTATACATATTTTTGTGTTCATTACTAATTATAATAAAACAGCATTAAGCCATTTGTTAGATTGTACATTTTCAGTGCCAAATTACAGGATATCAGATAGTTATACATGACTGTGGGTGGGAATAGACCTGAGAAGATTTTATATGGTGGTATATGAGTTGTTCTTTAAATGGTGCACAGTCAGGGCTTGGGCAGCTATATAAGAAAGTCAGGGCATCACAGCAGTGGAAAATTTATGAGCAGAGATGTGTACAGGAGTACACGGGGCTGTATCTGTTTGGTTGAGTGTGATCCAACCATAATGGAAGGATAGGCTGGGGAAATGGAAGGAAATAAAGTTTGAAATGTTAAGGTGAAGAATTTGAAATTGTGTTAGGATAGATGGGACAACTGAAAGTCTTGAATATTCTGGATCATCTTACTTTTCACTCTTCATTAAACAGTTTTATTTAGCACATTTTATGTGCACAACTCTCATAATCTAATAAAGCCTGGCGGAGGCCACAGGGGCTTACACTTGAGTAGGGATGATATTAAACCAGTGTATGCAGTGGTCTGTCGTGTGGCCTCCGTAAGTATGTTTATATTTTAAGACTGTGACATACTGTTGGTTTGGAAAAGTATGCTCGGAGTGACGATTGGAAATCTTTGGAAGTGAAGAATCAGAGTAGACTCACAACTTAAATGATACAAATATTTAAAAGATTGTTCTCCAGATAGATTGGAGGGGGATGGTTAGAGGCAGGAAGAGCAGGTAAAAGGTTCATTAAGGAATGCAAGATTTAATAGATGGGTTAGAGAAAAGGAAGGACTTAAATTTATGAATAGGTGTTTTAATTTAATGGTTCTGGTTATTCAGTGCACTCTTTTCAAAATATGAAAGCCTCGGTCCTACTCAAGATTCGCTGAATCAGAATTTTAAGGGAATATATTTTAAAAGCTCCCTCAGAGATTCTGATACGTTTCTCTGGTTAGAAACAACTAAATGAATTAGTATGTGTTTTTTCCACTCCAAGAAGTTGTCAAATAGTCTAAACCTACTATTGAATCTTAATATATTTAATATGCATGTGTGTGTATTTTTTTTCTTCTGCATAACTTTCTCATACTGTTTTCAGTCCTGAATTTTTTTTCTGTACTTGGTGCCAAGTCTTATTATAAACTTGTTAATTAGTGTTACTCTGCAAAATCAATTTTAAGCAAATGAAATGCACTGCACAAGTTAAAAAGAATTTCTATAACTTTTTTCTTATTAAATGATAGGGACAAAAGCCAGGATGGATGTTCAAAAATGGTATTTGAGAACTTCAAAGCTGGCTCTGGCCTTGGCAATTATCCGCTCAAAACCAGCAGACAAAAGCAGCAGAGAATACACAGAGCACCTTGCTATGTTGCTGTCTGAGGAGGAGTCAAAATGGAGATCAAAAGTTGAAGTCTTGGAAGCTGAAGTTATGCAATTACGTCAAAAACTTCTTGTGGGCAGGCTTTGTTCAGGATCCTTAAAGAGTGGTGAGTATATACAATTGCCTTTTGGTAGTATGTCAAACTGTTTTATTTCAGCTGCACAATTATTTAGAAATGTATTCCCAAAACATGAAAATTTTTAGTTTCCATGAAAGCTTGACATCTTCTAGTCTTATACTTTTTTTAACTTCTGGTCATTCATTAAAATTTTATTGTCACTTTCCTACATTTGACTTTGGAATGAAGTTAGAGAATGAAAATAGTATAGATGTGAAGGCAATAAGGTCTTTTAAAATCTCATTGTTCAACTGTATTATTTTACTATTACATTTTATTTTGCTTTTATGTTCAGTAGTTAATCTAGCAGTCCAAAGTGAAATACCAGTTATTGGCCAGGCTTGTGTGGATGGTGAGGACCTCAAAACACGTAGAAGGAGGTGCTGTCTTTTCTACTAAGTACCTACCATTCTAGCAGACAAAGCAGACCTATAAATAATTAACCTAGTTGTGATACATACTATAATAGAGGGACTGACAAAATACAGAGGAGGAAGTTATTCCTTCTGCCTAGTTTCTGGGAAGGCTTCTTACCTGTGGCCCTTAAAGTTCTGTCCACTTGTCAGTGAAATGGTTACAGAACATCCAGTAAGATACAGGAGCATGAGCAAAGGCACTGGAGTGGTGAATACAAATTGCATTCAGAATACTGCCACAATTGCATTTCAGAGTGACCAAAACACTTATAAGGCAAGGGCGTGATGGAAAAAAAGGTACAGAGGGAAGTTGGGACCGGATTCAGAAGGGCCTTGAATGTCAACCTAAGGAATATTTTACTGTATTACTTATCAGTAAGCTGAGCATACAATTTATGGTTTCTACTAGAACCCTTGTGAGGGTGAATGGAAGGGCCTATTAATAATTACACTGGGAACACAGGGGCAACCCTGGGTTTACTTGAGCAAACTAGAACATGTGGTTACCCGGTTAATCAGGAGCCACTGGGCTTTTTTAAAGCAGCAGATTGACACTCATGATTGGGAAACATAATTCTGGCAAGTTAAAAAATAAAACATAAATCAGGCAGTGTTACTTTTTTGCATAAAACTCTTCCCTGACTTCTAATTAGGCTTTGCATTAGATTCAGACTTCTGATAGTGGCCCAAAATGCTGTGAGTAATTTCACCTCTACTCACCTCTCCCACCTCATCTCGTACACTCTTCCCATTAACAGCTAGGCCCTAGTCAACATGGCCTTCCTTCCAGCCCTTGAAATCTCTTTATTGCCATGGAACTCTCCTAGGTTCTTCTTCTCTTCGACTCTTTGAGGCTGGTTTCTTCTTTTCCTTAGGTCTTATTCTAAGTGACACCTCCTCAGTGAGGTATTCCCTGACCCCTCTAGTGGACTTCCACTAGTTATTCCCTACACAAGCACCTCCTGTGTGGTATTTACTTATTTATTTGCTTGGTTGCAGATTTATCTCCTGAACTTGAGCTTATGTTCACTGAGGAGAGACCTTTGATTTTTCCAGGTCTCTTTATTTATTGCCCAGCTCAAAGCCTGACACATAGAAGGTGATCAGCAAGTATCTGTCCAGTGAAAGAGGAACATAGAGGATGTTTTGGCTATAGTGGTGATTCGAGGCAGGGAGACCAATTTTTAAAGCTTTGACCAAAGCCCACATGAGGAATAGTGAGTTGAATTAGATCTGTTATAGTGAGAAATAAAAGGACAGACATGTATGAATAACTTGAGAGTAGACACTTTAGAATTTACGAATGGTTTCAGAGAGTGGTTGAGGGAGATAGCAGTATTTGGGGTAATACCTAAATACCTAAGCAGGGTTTCCCTCCTAGCCTACTAAATGGCTTGTGATACTTTGAATTCAGATGGTGAACACAAAAATAAGCTTATAGGATAGAAGGTTGAGCCCATGTTTCTGTGAGTGTAGGCTAATACTTAGAATATAGATTACCTAGAAGGAAGGTGGAAGTGTGGTCAGAGAGGATGAGCAGGCTGGAACTACAGACACAGACTTCGGATCTGTTGGATTTAAGGAATAGTGAAGTTATAACTGCAGATGAGACTCAAAGAGAAAAGAGCCATGAGTTTAGGTGGGAAGCCTGCAGATTCCAATATTTCAGGGGTGTCAGAGGAAGATGAGGCATTATCACATTAAGAGCATGCAGGTGTAAGGTGCACATATATGCTGTGGGTAATAGGAGACTTTAGTTTTGGGAATTATCATGAAAATCCAGTAACCTAATACCGAGATGTTACTAAAATCTTACTATTGCAAGAGCAAAAATAGTATTACACAATTTGCAGCCACATTTTAGTTTCTCTGGAGTCCTTTTTGATAATGGGCTCTTTGAGTATACCCAGTGAATAAATGGCAAACATAGTCAGTTTTTCTTCATTTTTTCCTGTGTAGTTATACAATTAATATAATGTCTCAAATGTTAAAATTTCCAGGAATCTTAAACTACGACTATCATAAGCATCCATGAAATCAAAACTCTTGTTTACTATCCAAGGGTCTATTTGTAATACTGATAAAATGTGTGTGTTATTTTTTTTGTAACATGAGTATGCCTAATAGGAGGAACCTAGGCAATAGCTTGTTTTTTATGCTGAACACTTTCAGTTACAGTGCCTGTGAGAAAGTTTTTCAAAAATCATATAATTAAAGTCAGTTTTACAGCAGGAGTTGCAGGTACAGTGTTTCTGTGCAGATGTTTGGAGGTAATCTGTTTCTCTATCTGTTACCTTAAACTTCAAAAATGAGGAATAAATGAATAGATTTAGATAAATGTTAAAGGGGACAGAAAAAATATACAAAAGGGGAGCATACACTGACAGGAAAATAAAGGAAGAACATGGCAGTTATGTAAGGATGACATGAAATAGTGACATGCCTTGCTCTAAGAAAACTCCATACCTGAAAATCAAAACTATATTACAAGTGTATTTATATTATTAAATATTTTTTCTAGAATTTTCAGTGTTGTTTTATATGTGTAACTGTTGTTGAGTGTTTAGAGAAAGCAAGTACTCAATAAATGTTGAATTGAATGATTCTTGACAGATTGAGAGGCTGGGGAATTCAGTTTACAGCATCAACTATTCATTGAAGCAACTGAGCAACCCAAAATTAAATAAAGCAAAGCCACAATGGCAAAATAAACAAATAAGAAAGTATGTATGCTTTCTACGCAACATTTCAGGAACTCAGCTATTTCTTTATTCTTGTTTTTCTACAGCTTTTTAATGAATATACCTCTTTATTATATTTACTAGGGGACTAGACTATATTGAGGAGGGATACATAGAACTTGATTATAGAATAATGTCACATTTTCATCTTACTTAAATGCTATTTACTAATTTATGGAATGAAAGTATGAAAAACAAAAGGAAGGAAGGAAGGAAGGAAGAAAAAGAAGTCTACATACCCAGTGACACATTTCTCAAAACCTTTTTTGTGATGTGTGGCAGGCACGGTTAATCATCTTCCTGATCTATGGAAGAGAAAATAAGAGTGAAAAGCTATGCTCTTTTTCTTTATAAAAGATTACTTATATTTCATTTTATAGAATCTTTTAAAATTTATTTTTACTAATTTTTAAAAAAATTTCATGGACACTGCAACAGCCTCCTGTTAAAGAGGGACTCTTAATGTTGGCAAAGATTTAGTCTAGGTCTGAGAAGTTGGATGAGAAAGACTCATAGCACAGAGACTAGCCAGGAAGATGTCAGTGGCTGTTTCTAAACTGGACTGGGGATTGAAGGGTTTATGGTGACAAGAGCAGGGCTTTGTTAATGGAAAAAATGCCAAGACTTCCGTAGGCAGATTTAGGATTAGAATTTGAGTGTGCGTGTGGGTGGGGCAGGGGGAATCCGGACAGTTGCTGTTATATTACATGGTCATTTGATATTCACAAAAGGGAAGTAGATGGATGAAGTGTCAGGTATGTGCCTTTTTGCCTACAACTTTAAGTAGTTAATATATTCATAAATCATCGATAGGCTACAGGATGAGCAGTTGGCTCGAGTAAAAGGATGAGCAATTGACTAGAGTGAAAAGAAAGAAAAAATCAAAGTAAATTCATTGATGTACATGCTTAGTAAATGTTTATTAATTACAGGGCACTTATATAGAGTGCTTAGGGTAGTGGAGGTGGAGGGCAGTATGCAGAGCAGTATAAGTAGTTATGGTTGAACTGAGTTTTAAGTTTTCTGTCCCGAGAACCAACCAACCCAGCCAGATGGCTTTGGGAGCTTCCTGATCCTCTAGGTCACATTGCTAAGGTTGATCCCCTCACCCTTCTTTTCTGCCTTATAGCCTGACTGAATTCTCGCTGTTCTATTGCCTCCGCAGTTCTTGCTTTCTCATCGTGTATAAGCATGGATTCAGGAAACAGTTTTTAGCTAGACTGGTGGTGACAAGAGAACAGAACAGGGGCCAGATGTTGCAGCAGCCCCATCTGCATCCTGACAGATCCAGGATGGGGCTTGCTTTAGTCTTCTGATGACTGTTTTCCTGGTCCCAGCCCACACAGCCTCTGTTTCACCTCTTTGTGCTTCTCACCTTGTTCCAGACCATGTACTGAGGAAACATTGCAAATAGCTGACTTACCGACACAACTGTGGAGCTCAGCATTTATAAGTTGGGACATTCACTGTTTCACGGATGCTGAAAGAGTATGAAAATTGAATGCGTAAGCATTTCTCTGTCAGTTTCCATATAAGCTTTCATAATATAAATTGTCTAATATACTAACGATGAAGTTTGTTTAAAATTGTAATGGATTTAAAACATACTTTACACATAAACATAAAAAGATGTATCATTATTTGATAGAGATTCTGAGAGCCTCTATAATAATTTAAAGTAAATTTATAATTATATATTAGACATGTTTTACTCATGTAAAATTTAATTGATCTTTGGATATTAGAGACAGTCAACATACAAAGAAATTAAAGATTAAAAAGCTCAGAATATCAAATGACTTTAATAATGACAAGGCAATAATTTATAAAT